ATATGAAAATCCTAGTTTTGTAACCAAATTTTCCTTAATTGCAGTACAAACAAAAAATTTGGTATTTTTTTTTTTTTTTTCTAATTATTTATTATTATAGTTATATTATTTATTGTAACTTTCTACTACAAGTATAGAAAACGTGTATTTATTTAATATTGTGTTTTATACATTTTAATATAATACATTATTATTATTATTATTATGTGACTTTCAGAACTGTAACTATACATTAGTGTATTTTATTATTTTACGTTTTAATATTTTATATTATTAGATTTGTTTGATTAATTTTATGTAGTAATTATTATTATTATATAAAACTTAATTAAATATAATTCATATTATTATTATTAATAATATTATTATTATTATTGCAATTTTATCCAAAATAGTGAACACTTTCAAACTTCTCTAACATTATAAGTAGACCTCAAAGAGCAAATTACATTATAAAACCGTATGATACGACCCTTTTAAAGGTCTACATCTGTGGACTGTAATTGAGCTTCCTGGAAAAGAACTTGGACTGTACCGAATGGTTAAACTGTTTTGCATTAGCCGACCGACCTTGAAGCGTTTTCCTGATTAATAGACAGCCGTGACTATGTTTACTGTCCCAGGCTCCTGTATCAAGTGAAGAAGATTGACTTTTTGTGTCCTTTAATAGGATCTCCTGCCAAGACTACACGATCACAGTCCCCCATGATGACATTACGCTCACCGCAGAAGGTATGACCTTTTCTTGTTGTCTAGGGTGTTTTGTGAAGTGACCTTTGATGTATTTACTGGTGTGGATGTTTATTGTAGCGTCTGGGGACTCAATCCAGGGCGTCTAAACTGGGTCAGATTCAAGTCAGTCCAACTGGGCCCACAATTAGACAGAGGGACACTGTTTGTGTGTGTTCATGCCAGTCCTGGGCAGTTCGGTTGGCAGCGATCCGGTGCAAACCCTCCAGAAACCACTAACCCATCTAAAAGTCTTCCATCTCAATGGTGACACATACATTTTACAGATATTGAACTCTGGTAACAACTATAAAGCAGAAAGCAACAAAATATATGCACCACCGCTCAAAAGTTTGGGGTCAGTGAAATTTAATTTTAAGGAAATTAGTACTTTTATTCAGCAAGGATGCATTGAACTGATCAAAAGCGACAGTAAAGTCATTTATAACGGTACAGAATATTTCTAATTTGAATAAATGCTGTTCTTTTGAACTTTCATTTAAAAAAAATGTAAGTATCACGGTTTCTAGAAAATATTAAGCAGATCAACTGTTTTTAATAATAATAAGAAATGTTTTTTGAGCAGCAAATCAGCATATTAGAATGATTTCTGAAGGATCATGTGACACTGAAGACTGGAGTAATGATGCTGAAAATTCAGCTTTGCATCACAGGAATAACTTACAATTTAAAATATATTACAATAGAAAACAGTTATTTTATTTTTTAATACTGTTTGGGTTATTTTAAGGTGTCCTTGTTACACATGTTACATGTACTTACTATTATAATAACAATGAATTATGCATAATTACATGCAAGTAACCCTAAGCCAAACCCTAATCCTAACCCTAACCATGTAGTAAGTACATGTAGTTAATTAATATTACTCAGTATGTATAATTATACCGTAACAAGGACACCTTAAAATAAAGTGTAACCACTATTTGTATAATTTGTATTGTATAATATTGTAATAATATTTCCCAATATTACTTTTACTGTATTTTTAATCAAATAAATGCAGCCTTGGTGAGCTTAAGAGACATTAAAAAAATCGTACAGACCCCAAACCTTTGAACCTTAGTATGTAATATCATTACATTTAGTAATATCATTTTTGAGTCCAACACTGTGTTTATGTACGATACCAATACAGTGAAGAGAAAATTACAACTTTACTGAAAATGCAGGTATCAGTATTGAAGAAACCACAGTATTTTTCTTTCAAAGGGCATAATAGTCAAAAAGGTCACAGATCTTGAAAAAGGTTGGAGCTGCCGCTATCAATGTACCTTCATGCCATTTTTCTTTGGCGTTGCAGTGAGTGTATTCCGGTTTTAAATAAAAGCACATTCTCCTCATTCAGAGTAACAGTCCTCAAAGCTGAGCACCGCTGTAATGGCTTCTCAGAAACTCCCACTCAACTGCGCGCCTCGTGTTGATAATTACATTCCTTGCTGTTTCCTTGAATTCTTGTCTCGTGCCATGTATTGATTCGTCACCTGGTATTCAGCAACACACACATGCTCACTAATCACCATATAAAACTCTACAATCCAACCCGTGGGAACTCTGTTCACATTTAAAGTGTAGATGACTGCATAGAAATCAAATCATTCCTCCTTCTGGAAATCAGAAATCTGTCAAGCTACTCAGAAGGAATAAGCAGAGAGGGTGAGATTCGGATAGGAAGAAATCTCAGTGGGAATGCTGGTGAATTTCCTGAAGGAAGTGCAGTCAGTGGGTCGGAAAGGGAAAGCGTAACCTGTGTACGGTTGCTTGCCCCAGAAATAGTCTCATGTCTGAAGCTATACTGCGTGACATATCACACACAAATGACCAAACACACACATAGGAATATAGATTCCACATTCAGTCACAGCTGGAAAAACCAACATTGACCAGTGCAAATTTCCATTCTGGTCCAGGCTATTTTACGCTATCCAGTTGAATTGGGAAACTCTGAAATCTCCAAAACAAGATTACATTTTATATTTGAAATAAATTTGATAACAGTGTATTCATTCAGTTTATAGAGATGCACCAGTATTACATTTCTGTACGATACCAATACTAAATATTCAGGTTATGGCCGCTAACTGATAAATTGTCAGAATTCAAATTCTATATTATTTCATCTAAATAAATAAAGTAAAACACTAAGGTATCACATCATTATAATGTACAGTATGAAAAATGGATATTTAATCTGAGAATTGCTGAAGATTACATATAGCAGTGTTATTCAGTTATTATTAGAAAATGAGCTTGCACAACTAAATATCCAATATAAATCAACATATCCAATGTCAATTGATACCAATAACTTTAAAATCTGTAATGTAGTCAATGACAATTATGTTCCCAATACATTTTTGTGCATCTTTCTAAATATACATTTTTCAGCTGAAATCATGGGGAATATATATATATACATATACATACATACTTTTCTTTACATGTAAACTCACTGTTATTGAGATGCACTGTTCACAACTGTGTGTATTTTGTTTGTAGTTGCTGCACAAAGCTGAATTATCCTAGCGGAAATGTTGTGTTTGAAGTTCTCTCCAGAGTGCAATCAGACTAAATACGCTTTATTCAGTGAAATGAAGTCCTAGAAACAGCTGCAGTCTTAGTTGCGGATTTAATTGCCTAGAAATAATTTTCGTAATGAAAAGACACAGTATTGCCTTGAAATAATAGAGCCAAAATTGCAGAATATTGTGCTTTGGCCTTCCAGTGTACAGATTAGCTCTGTGAGGCGGGACGCTGCTTCGGTTGCAGCTGATGGTTTCTTTATTAAGGGTTTCTGCCAGCAGAAGAGGTAACTTTTTTTCTTTTGCTAACTACATTGTGGCCCAGAGCTTCATGTTTTCTCTCATCTTGTATTCGCAGACCTCTGTGCCTCCGTTCACCCCCTCACCAACAGAGTGCCAGTCGACAGGGTTGGTGTCGAATTCTCCGGTGCTTTCTGGAAGCTACAGCAGCGGTATCTCGTCTCTCAGTCGCTGCAGCGTCTCTGAGGCCTCCGGAACTGAGAACACACCCGCTGACCATGCCCTCCCAAACTCCACCTCCAGCGGATCAGACGAGCTTATTCGGCGGGAGAACAAGACCCCGCCTCCTTACAGCATACATGAGCGGAACAACCCCCGCAGGCAGGTCCCGCTTCCACCGAGCTTTTCGATTCCTCCAAGCATCGACGCGCCACCTATTCCACCCAAACCGCACCAGATTCGAAGGCAAGACACTGAGCCACGCCGGTCTGACCAGTTTCCCAGACCCCGGCCCCTTCCCAGGAAAGTCTCACAGCTCTAACGCTGCGCCCTTCACTCCAACCCCACCGTTTGCACTTTTACACTTAACCTCTCTGGGTTTACGAATACAAACTCACAAATTAGATTAAATGTATAAAGTAGACTGTGGAATATTTTTATTATATATACGTATATTTAGAGTGAGAGAGGGGATACGGGGGTATGACTGCATTTTATGCACTTTTTAGGTCAGAAATTATAACTTCACTTGTCAAATTATCCGAGCCCCTGAATTAACTCTAAACAAAACTAAGAACCATGGTATTTTCTCAGATTTTTCATAGATTTATCAATGCTAATGTGTATTTATAATGGTTGATACAAGACATGTTTGCCTTAAGAGTCTTTTTATCAATGAGAAATGCATGATTAAAAGTACTTTGTACTTTATATTTAGACAAAAGGTGCTAAAAGTCATCTATATTAATGTTAGCACGATATGTTCAGGATTGCATTTTCTTTTGGGTTTAAGGCCTGTTCACACCGAATGCGAGGAAAAATGTGGGGTAAAATAATGAAATATTACCACATTCAAATTTAAAAATGTATTATTTATTGCAGATTTGCATTAAATTCACTTTCCTGCATTGTCATTATATATATATATGTATATATGTATATTGTGCATGAGGCGACTTAAACAGCACCTTTGCACAAATTCCTATGTGCCCTGTGGCTTTATATTTATGCACATTTATTATATATGCACATATTTTATTAGCGGACTTTCAAAGGAGACTGGGTTTATGTCTGTATTACAAAGGGTTCACAAACTGGAACCACTTACATATGTAATTTTCGTGTTCAAAAAGGGGTGTGCAATTCCAGTACAGAGGTTAAAAGGCTTAAATGCCACCAATGTGCTGGACTGTGCAGCTGCAGTGTTGACTCTGTAAATACAAAAAAAGCATGTATGTCATTGCTCAGCCAGTTATATTTGCAGTCTGATGTGAAAAAAACGTTCCGCACTCGGAAAGAAGTTTGCACTCGGTGTGAATAGGTCTTTAGAAAGGTCGCTGCTTTTGTAAGACCAAGCTACCGTAGTCTCATTTCTTATTACTAAAAATCCACACACACAGAGCTTTCATGGGTTCGATGAATCCGAAAAGTTTCCGTTTGAACTGCCACCTTTGCATTGACCTATGTGAAGTTGTACCTTCAGCCCATTTATGTAATTGGAACGCGATTGTGGGCGAGTCTATATTGGCTTTCGGAGCCCTGCAGCATTGATAGTTCCTTTAGGTTTCTTTGGCGTTTGGGGTCTGAATGTTTGGAACCCTTGTAGGTGGTGTGAAAAATTCCCAACAAGGGTTTCCGTACGGAGCGCACATGCCCACGCGATATAAATGGAGATGGACTTTTGTGGAGTTTTGCCAAGTGTTGTGCCAAAGGAACAGGTGGGCTGTAAGGAAAATAGATGTCTTGAACCCGAAGATGCTTTATTAGGATGCAAATGGAGCGTTAGACATCCACTGTAATAGACTTAACCATAGAACTCATGGTGCACCGGACCACTTTACAGCACTGCGTTACCGTACTGCTGCTGGTTGTCTAAAAGACAGTGAGACAAAGTGATATAGCCTGGTAAAAGAGCTTCATATGAAAGGTACTTGATCTACCTAGGGCATTACAGAGACTCAAGCTGCCATTGGGCAATAAGGGCTGCCATTCCTCTTCACACTTATAATCTAAACGCATGTGCTCCAGTCAAATCTGGAATGACACCTCTGGATTACGCTTCTAAACATGCATAGCCACTTCTGTAGAAGCCAACACGTGGTTACACGGGGCACAGCAGTGCAAAATGTCCAGCAATGCTTCTGCATTTTGCATGCACAATTTCATCTGTTGTCCGAATGTTGCCAAGTTTACAATTCTGTAGGGCCCTGCAAACGAAATCCAGGCATATATAAAGCGGAGAGACCAGCTATAGTTTTGTTTTAGTGGGAAATGTGACCGTCTAACGCAGTACAGTGTCCTCATTTGCTTTCTGTTTCTTATTAATTCTCAAATTAACTTGAGTATGATTTTTATTTTCTCCTTTTTTACGGTCACATTTTATGAGACTGGGATTTGATGCGAATGCCAAATGATGGCATTCACAAAAATCAGTACTTGAGAAAACTGTAAATTAAATAAGATTGTTGTAATTATGCCAAATCTTGTCTATTGTACATAACGTGTTTTTAACAGAAGTGTAGCTATAACAAATTTACAGCTTTGAATGTTTGAACAGCAAATTAAGATGATAAATGTCAAATATTTATGTATTTTGTGAGCGTAGGGAAATGAGGTCCAGAAAGCAACTAACACATTTACATTCTAATGAATTCCTGTCTAATAAACATTTCCAGCAAGAACACTTTGATTCAAGAGCTCATTGCATTCTTTTCTCGAAAGGTTAATGCACGTCTGTATAGAACTGATTTCCAGGCTGAATATGCCAACGCACCAGTCATGTATGTTCTTCAGGAGTCTTGAAATGTAAATGCAGCTTATATATGTATATAAAGTGTGTGTATTTTACAGATTAAGCTCCATGACAGCCCATTGGACCTCTAATAAGGATCATAACAGCGGAAAAGTAGGAAGCTCATTGTTATTCCTCCAGGTGTGGCAAGCCGGTTGCATTATTCATGCGTTTGTCTCTGTTCAGTAAGGCCTGTATTTGCACACGTAATGCAATCTTGCTGTGGTGGGACGTTTGAAGACTCCTCGCTGTCATGGTAAGTTTGTTCGTAGTTTGAGATGTGAAGAACCAAGGATTTTTCCAAGGAAATGCACAGTTTACTTGAAAGGTTAAACTGTAATTGTAATTGGGAAGTCTTCCGGACCAGGGAAACTTTAATGTTTATGAAGGGCTCATGCGAGAGTGAATATTCCAAGCCTTTGCCATGCTCCATCCTTTTATGTTGCCTTCAAGACTTCTGCGAACTGTTCCACCAAAGTACCTCATTTAGATTCTAAACACCCAGAGAATTGTACAATTATGGGCAAAAGCTCGGGAAAGAGAAATGCGGGTCTTAATGTTGCCTTACCTTGGTTGAGCTCTTCATAGCACAAGCTCAAGGTGTTTTTCTGCTTCAGCAAACTCTAAAGAACATAGAGTTTCCATCTGGGACCGAGGTTCATCAGCAGAGACTGAGGTTTAAAACAGCTTATGGATAATAGATTTCCTGTTTCATCCTTCTGATTTCCTGTATCACTGCTTTTATGCTTTCGGTTGATTGGGATTTGCCCATCAGCTTTACTCACCTTCTGTCTCTCCATTGGTTTGTTGTTTTCTGTTATGACCTCGTAGAGGACTCTTGCAGATGTTGTATGGGGATTTCCATAGAACATCAAACGAAGGATTGATGTAGGTAGTGGTGTTTCACACACCTTTCTCAGTGTGAGAACGTTTGATTTGAACTGTGCGTTTGAACTCTAATGCTTCGGCTGCTCTCCACACCAGTCGATGGATGATGTTGGATATATCAGTGATCTAAAATGATTAAAAAGCATGGTGAACTGTATGCTAAATGAAGTTTAAAGCACCCTATAGCACATCCAATATATATCAAAGTTCTGCTTAATCTCATGAGTGTCTAACATGATGTACACTTTTCCAAGCTGACTATCTAGACAATATTTTAAGTACTTAAAGGTACACAATCGACAAAAGATTTGTTGTGCAAGGTAAGCAACAACATTTTGGCCAAAATCTTAGGGAGCTTGTATGCCTCCAGGATAAAACAATCCCATAATGCATTGCACTGATCCAAGATGGTGGACGGGTCAAGAGAAAAGCCAACTAAATATATCTTGATTTCATTCGACATTGTTCTGAAATTTGTTTGTGTTAATACAAATAATTTAATATAAATAAAAATGGATTGTTTTTGTCAATATATTGTGTACTACATAATTTATATGCTACATAGATTATTGTATCTGTATCAATGTTCTAATATGAAATTCTATTAGAATCTGTTGTTTTTTTTAGATGCTTTTATGGTTTATTTTTTACAATTATTTTTATTGGTATATTTTCTGTATTTAAAATGTAGGTGTTATGATTTTTTTTTTAAATGTGTCTAGTTTTTATTTAAAGTTTTGTTTTTTTAGCACATCAAGTTAAACTAAAAAAATTACAAATGCTTATATATATATATATATAAAATTTTTTTTTTTTTTGGTCTTGTCATTTTATTTCAGTTAACATGTATGAGGGTTGTGTTTGGACGGCTAATAGACTAGACATCTTTTAAATGCAAAATTGCTTGCTGGGGCTATAGCTTCAGCGCGCTGGAGATCTATCTTGTCGCTCTGTTGACTTTTGTCAAGCCTGGGTTTAAGAAGAGGACAACTTCTCAGATGCTGCAGTGGGGGGAACATTCAGTGATTTTCTTGCGCTTTTCTTGGTAAACAACATTACCTTGATGTTTCTCAGGAAAAACATTCGCAGCACAAACAGCTTGTCTGAATTTAAAAGCACTTCAAGGTAGAATGAGGCCCTATAGATGGTCCTAATGGCCAAGACCAGTGGATATCTGCAACACAGTAGGAAGATTCAGTTTAAATATTGCTCAAGGCATTTATTTTTAGTTGTGCTGCTGTGCCTTAAGCAATTCTAGTTCAGCGGTTTGCAGAAAAGCAGGCTTTGATCAGAGTGTAAAATGCGTTGATGCATTGATCTGACAGTGAAAATGAATTTGTATTGATTGAATGCATGACTTAAAATAAAATTAATATTGGTTTATAATTATACTCAATGTATTATGCATTTATTTCTTATTCAAAACATTAATTTTGAGCCTGTGAATGTGAGATCTGGTGAAATTGTTCCTTAAAGGGGTCATATGATGCGATTTCAATTTTTCCTTTCTCTTTGGAGTGTTACAAGCTCTTGGTGAATAAAGAAGATCTGTAAAGTTGCAAAGACTAAAGTTTTAAATCCAAAGAGATATTCTTTGTAAAAGTTAAGAGTCAACCACGCCTACCTAAAACGGCTCATTCTAACACGCCCCCACATGTCTACATCACTATGTGGGAAGATTTGCATAACACCGCCATAATGTTCATGCAAAGAAAGAGGCCGTAACTTTTATTCTCACTGTGTATTGTTGCCGCCGCCGTAATGTCGTGAAGGCGCTGTGTGTTTCGTTGTGAAAGCGAAGCTACTTTTTTTTGGCCTTCCAAAAGAAGACGATATCCGCTTCGTCATGCCTGGAGCTGATCCGTGCTTGGTGCCTAGGAAATACATAAACTTCGCGCTGTGGATCACCGGATCAGCTTTCACCGTGGACGAAGCGGAGTCCAGTCCGGGGTTGTCACATGTAGTTGCCGCAAGCCCTCCGGACGCTCCTTCGTCGAATCCGCCGGCCGCGCCATTCTCAAGCCCGCCTGCCTCTGCTCACTCAAACCGGCCTCCACTCACTCAAGGCCGCCGTGTGTGACGCTGTGTTTCGTTGTGAAAGCGAACTACTTTGTTTGGCCTTCCAAAAGAGGACACGACTAGAAATCAGTGGTTAAGTTGTATTTACAACACTGTTCCAGAACAGTTCAACCTAAATATTCAGATGTGTGCAGCACATTTTATGGAGGACCGTTTCCTGAGCCTGGTAGACTACAATGCCAGCTGTACACATACACAAAATAATGTTCTTTTTAGCAACATTATATGACCCCTTTAAGTTGCATTTGCGTCAAGCAGCATATGCAATATATGCAGTATCTCTGCATTTTATTGAAAATAACAATGAATTATACCAAAATAAGTTAATTTAATTGGGCCAAACTGTGACCAAATTTCAAATTTGCTAGATACTTTTGCATTACTTTGAGTGCTCTTCACAAGGTAGGCCTATACGCACACATATGCACGTTAAATGATGGTTGTCTGGACCAAACGCTACTTCATGGCCTAAGAAATGTCTTCATTGACCGGTTTCTGTAGCTAACCTACAATTACGCTTGAATAGTTGTAGATTAGATAAATCAACTCATCTTGGCTCCCTGACTCTCCTCTATGATTTCTTTACCTGAACGGCAGAAAGACTTTCAGACCAGACATAGTCTGCCACTCTCAATGACAAAAAACTCTGAATTAAAAGATGAATTTAGTATTTTTAAGTATTTAAAAGTATTCGTATTACACATTAGAATGATATCATATTTAAAATCACATTTGAGACCTTGTTTTTGCTGTTTGCACAAGCTTACAGTATGCAGTTATTCCCTGCTGGTAGATGAATTAACTGTGCTGTTATATGGGCAAAAAGCATGTTTCATCAAAAGTAGTCATGTATTCTGATGAATAATATTCTTATCTGCGGGATATGGATTAAAAAGAAATTTAAATGGTTTGAGAGTTCAAACGCAGTCAAAATAAGGCAACCCATGCATAATTGCCTACATTTCTGCAAAACTGCAAAAACGTACCTGTTTTTCACTGCAGCTTCCAGGTGGAATGAGCACTAGAGGCGGTAAAACACCAACAACTGTTGTTTCTTTCCACACAAATTATGATTACAGGGGCAGATTATCGATTAATAAAGACTTATTTTGTGCTCTTCCTTGCATAATACTTTATGGCATCAAAACACTTTTACCATATTGCATGATTGATAAATACATTTTAATGTGCACATCACATAATCTGCTCTATGTATGTAGTAAACTCGCTCGGTAGCGCACCTGGTACAGAGCTGCGCATGCAATGTAGAAGTTTCATGCGCTCAAAGCCTTGTATATGGAAGATAAAGAAACCATGGATTCTTCAGCAAATCTGTTTTTATCTTATGTTTGCTTTTTCTCATGCTATTAGTTAGGCTAATGGAAGCGTATAATGTAGGTGATATGCAGTGCTGGGTAGCTTTAGTGCATTAGTGATTACAAATTACATGACAAAAATTGTAGTTAGTCATGTAATATATTAGATTACACATTTGTATATAATCTAACCTTTTGGATTACTTTTTACCCAACTCATTTATTACATAGATTTAAATAGGATTATTTTGTGCCATATTGATATAAAAACATAAAGAAATATATTGCATTCCTTATCAACTGCACATACTGCATAAAACAGTATAATGTAATGTAATATAATGTAATTACAAGTACTTCATTTTTGTAATCTGATTACATAATACAGATTACATGTAATCAGTTACAATCCAGCACTGGTGGTGTGTGAATTTCAAAAGCGATGACGCATTAACCACTCACTCATTTCTGAACTGCTGTGATGAGTACAAAAATCTTGCCACAGTCACGTTTAACTGTTTTGGAGAAAACTTAAACCTATTTAAGGTGTTGCAGAAATGTCGCCATAGTAACGTATTTCCAATGAGCCTGGGTTGAAATAAGGCTGCTGGCTCCGATTGTCTTTGTCCTGTATACAAAGCAGTGTTTCTCGGGTATTGTGCAAACCTGTTAAAGCGGCGAAAGGAAAATCAGGTTTATCAGGAAGCGGAAAACTTGGAGCAGTCTCTTCCACTCATCTGAGATGAATTGATCTGAATTCAGTCTCTCAGCTTGCCGCCACATTGAGGTGATTAACTCCACACTGTGGTGCCTGGCCTTTCTGTC